AGCCCTTCCTGAACTTTTTAGAAGAATTTTTTAAACTATGTGTATGTCTGTGTGTCTGTGTATGGTATGTGCACGTTGAGTGCAGTGCCCACAGAGGCTAGAAGAGGGTGTCAGGTCCCCTGGAGCTGGAGTTATAGGTGGTTGTAAGCTGCCTTAACATGGGTGCTGGGAACTGAACTTAGATGCTGCAATAGTAGTACGTGCTCTTGACCGATGAGCCAGCTCTTCAGCCCTCTTTCTGAACTTTGTGTGATTGGAATCCACAGTCTACATACCTCCATACTTTCATTCAGTGAATGAATTCATCCATGTCAACAGGTGTGCTGGTGTCTGTCCTGTTTATTCTGAGGACTAGTCTACGACATGGACACACCACAGTGCAGGTACTCCTTCACCAGTCGGGTTTGGCTGTTATCAACATTGTGCACAGATCTGAATCAGCATACACTTTTATTCTCTTGGATAAACACCTAGAAGTTTCTGAGCTGTGTGGTAACTATGTTGAACTTTATGAGAATCTGCCCAACTGCTTTCCAAAGCTGCTATACTATTTGGGGCTCCACCAGCTATGTGCACCCTCACCAGCTGTGCACAATCCCACAAGCCATCTATGACCCCACCAGCCATGTAGCCATGTATCACCCCACCAGTCATGTGTGACCCCGCCAGCACAAACAACCCCACCAATTATGTATGATCCCACCAGCTATGTGCAACCCATCAGCCATGTGCGACCCCAGCCAGTCATGTGTGACCCACCAGCCATGTGTAATACCCTACCTCCTCTCTGTCTTCAAGGTGTCACTGGCCTGTCTAGTTTGGGTCTTGCTGTGCTGTGACCCTCCAGAGGTTTTCATGTATGTGCTCCTGGTGGCTGATGGTGTTGAAAACTTTTGCATCAGCCTTTGAGACAGCACCTGGAGTCTGTCAGGCCCTTCCCACTCTAGATGGCTGAAATCCCTACTAGGGACCCCTCCATTTCTCACCCCCAGCCTGCTCCCTCCATGGACTTTCTCTGGGACCCTCTTCAGGACAGTTGCCCCTGGGGTCCCAGCCCCCTCCAGCCCCCACCCATCCCATCTCCAGCAGCTCCCAGGTGTCTCTCCATTCCACACCTTCACACTCCTGGTCTGGTTCAGCTGTCCTCACCATTCCTCACACAGCCGCCCCTCCCCTGCAGCAGCTCTGCCTCTTCCAGTCACCCCCTCCTTTGTTCATCTCCCTCACACACACCCCTGTGCCCATACTGAAACACTCTCCCCTCCGGAGTCAACAAGTCTCTGTTGTCATTTCCTGACCCCTCAGGACTGGCCCTGTTTGTTGCACCTGCTCAGAGTTCCAGCTCCCTCCTCTAGACTCTGGACCCAGACACCATCTGAGCTTCTCTTGGAGACCTTCCATGTAGACCATGGTCTTGTCTTGCTCACACGGCATCCTGGTACGGTGCCTGGCAAACCCTAACATCTTGGGGTTTGCTTGAGGGGCAGATAGGGATGGAAGGGGGAAAATTATTGCACTCCTGCCCAGATGAGACACCTACAGGGGTGGCAGCCATGCCCAAAGGAGGCCAGGGACTGGGAGAAACTTAGCCTACCAACCACCTGCCCCCACTTCCTGTCTACCTTCCTCCCTGCCTCTTTTCCCTGCAGGAAGAGCTGAAGTCAGCAGTCTGGTTTTCTGGCAATGCAAATTACATGCAGAAGCAAGTGTCCTAGACTTCTAAGCCTCAGTTTCCCTGGCAACAACACAGGGTGATCATTGCACCCCTGTTGTGAGGCTGTTCTAAGACCCGAATGAGATAATATGGACCAATGTTTGGCATCGGTCCAGGTATGCAGTTAGTCCTCAACAGTCCAGGTATGCAGTCTTTGTCCTAGGCCCCAGCTCTGCTGTGTCCTCCTCTTTGCAGAAGTGGGCTGGGCTCTACTCTGTCCTCCTTCCAAGTAACTGTGCCTTTCCTCTGCTACAAGAGGTGACAAGGGAACTTCCAGGTGCCAGGGCATGTCAGTAGGGGGTGAGATTTGGGGGCATGGGATTCCCCCAGAACCCCACTGTGATCTCAAGGACATGGTGACAATGTGGTTAAGGGCATGGCTGTCAGGCCTGGGTTCCAATCCAGATCATCACGCATGGTGGTCGTAGCACTTCACTTCTCTGAGCCTCAGTTTCTTCCTTTGTGAAATGGAGAACATACAAATTCCTCCTTTAAGGGCTGCTTGAGAAGTTCAAGGAGGTACTGCAGATGTACCTGAGTTCATTGGATGGATGCTTGCTGAGTGGATGAATGGGGTGACTCAGGCTCTGGGTCAAGGGCAGGAGAGGGCGAGCAGGAGAAAGGACACAGCTGTGCACAGGGGACACCTGGATCCTGCCCAGTCTTCTGCCCAGAGCTAGATGTCAAGCTTTAAGAATCAGTTGTTTACTAAATGCATCACATGAAAAGTCAAGGCCATCCACAAGTAAAACTTCCCAGCTGCTTGACTGCATCCTACCATGGAGGATGCTCTGCAGGTTAGTCACACACTGGACAGCACCTCTGCTAGGAGAGGATTTCCACAGAAGAAAACAGTGAGCCTGCATACCAGGGCCTAAGCCTGCATACCAGGTCCTTTTCCCTCCGAGGAGCCACTTAAACCTCACCAGCACTGCACTGGGACTGGAGCCCCTTCCTGGCCCCACATCCTACTTCATCCTCAATAAAGCAGAAGGAAACGCCAGGGACTCAAGGCCTCAAGGAATTGGTGGCGGGTGTCCCCTGGTGGCTGTTCCTCTCATTAGTGATGCAGAATTGTCCCCACGTGATGACAAGAAAAAGGGAAAGGAAGATGGGAAAACAGACCTGTGTTCCCACGCAGCACCCTCAGGCCATGGCACTCCTGAAACCCTTGGGGGTTTCAGCCTTGGGGTCTGTAAATCCAGTTTCTTTACTTTTTCTGATTCAAAGGGAAGAGAGTCCAGGATCTGCACAGACATCAGCCTGACTTCTCTAGAGTGACTGCACAGAATTGTTCTAGAAGTCCCGGGGGAGGGAGCAGACACTGCCATCACTGGGCACGGGGATCTTTGCCCCCCAACCCCCACCTTAAGGCTGCCTGCCTGTCTCTGCCTCTCTCCACTGTTCTCCTCCTCTTCCCATACCTCCCTCCAAAGCTGCAGCCCTCTTTTGAACCCTTATGTTGCTGGCCATACTTGAGCCTGTGAGGTAAGGCCCTTCATTCCCAAAGAGTCCACCAGGAGTGCTTTCTAAGAAGAACATTCTGCCTTGAGATTCTTTTTGCCTGTCTTGGAAGACCAGGGCAATGTATGCTTTAATCATCAGTTTCCTTTGGTCTGTATGGGAACTTCTGGGAGAAAGAATTTGGGGGCAGGACTGGAGTGTGACTTGGGTGACCAGTGAAGCCACAGAGTCCACATAGGTTTGAGGTAAGATAACATGTGTTCACAGTGCATGTAGCTCCCATGGGGGCAGCTCTCGTGACTTGCTGGAGGCTCTGGTGCTAAGATCAGAAAGCCCAGGAAAATTAGGGCAATGTGTCACCCTGCCTGCAGTTAGGGGGTCAACAAAATTATAGAGGCTGATTCAGCATGCTGATATACTTGTGTGTGTGTGTGTGTGTGTGTGTGTGTGTGTGTGTGTGTGTGTGTGTGATGTGTTTATCCCTTCAGATTTACCTCCTTTCAGAGGCCAGAGGCCAATCTTGGGTGTTGTTTCATTCCTCAAGTGCTATCTACCTTTCTTTAGGGATGTCTCTCACTGACCTGGAATTCACTAGGTAGAATAGGCTAGTTGATCAGGGATCTGCCTGTCTCTGCCTCCCCAGGGCTGGGATTGCAAACATGAGCCATCACATTTGGCTTTGTGTGTGTGTGTGTGTGTGTGTGTGTGTGTGTGTGTGGGGTGTGTGCGTTCTGGAGATTAAACTTAGGTCCTTCATATTTGCAAAATGAGTGCTTTATCTACTGAGGCATTTCCCCAAAGCAGAACAGTCCCATCCATCTAGTCAAACATGTCACATCCTTTCTACAGCTTAGAGAACAAGTTGCAACAGAGACGGCGACAGGTAACAACCTAAAATACTGTCTGGTCCTTTGGAAAAAGTTTTCAAACCCCAAACTCTCAATATAGCCCACAGGGGTACCTGGGAAGTGAATGCAAGCCCCAGAAATCTCTCAGGTTGCAGAGGGCTCTGTCAGTTCCAGGCATGGTAGCGGAGGTGGGTCCCCTGTGGAAGGAGAGAAGCTTCCAGGACTGCGTGGGCACTGAGAGACACTGAGCTCTGGGGACTTACCTGTTGGCCTAACTGGGTCAGGAGAGTTGATAGAAGCCACCTAATTTGTTTGTTTGCTTGCTTATTTTGTTTTGTTTGTTTATTTGGGAGTGTGTATGGAGGTCAAAGGAAGGTTTCAGGAGTCATTTTCTCCTTCCACATGTGAACCCTGGGTAGTGAACTCAGGTCATCAGACTTGGCAGCAAGCACCTTTACTTGCTGAGCCATCTCACTGGCCCTAGTTTTAGTTTTGTTTGTTTTGACATAGGGTTTCCCTGTAGCCCCAGGTGGCCTGGAACTCACTATGTAGACCAGGCAGGCCTTGATCTCACAGAGATCCACATGCCTCTGCCTCCCTAGAACTGGGATTAAAGGCATGTGTCAGAACACCCAACAGTTTTAGTTTTCTTGAGTCAGAGTCTCATGTAGTACATATTGGCCTGGAACTTGTAGCCAAGGATGACCTTGAACTTCTGATCCTCAGCTTCTATCTCATGAGTGCTGGGTGTGCATTACTGCTTTAGTTTAAGTCATTCATTTTCCCTTGCATCCTGAAAGGGTCCCAGTTGCCCAAGGATATACCAAGATGTCTCTATTGCCCAAAAGGCAACATGAATGCAGGCCTAAATTCTCACACAGAGGGCTTCCTGAGGGGCCTGGGACTGAAGGTAAACAGCAAAGAGTCAGCTGCCACTTTGCACTGAGGGATGGGGCATCAGGGAAGGCTGCACACACGTATTACCACGCATTTATTGAGTGCCTGTGCTGTGCCAGGCCCACCCTAAACCAAGGCCACAGGGAAAGGTAGGGATGGGCAGGGTAAAGGCACTCTGTTACCAGATGGAACCTCATTAGTTCACAGTCCCGAAGAAGGAGCTAACCTTCCAAACCCACCCTAACCTCCCCAAGTTGAGCTCTTGCCCAGTCCAGGGATCTCCCAGACAGAAGCCCAGGAAAGTCGAGCTGCCCCTCCCTGTGATATGGAAGAGCAGAGGTCATGGCGCTTGGGGACTGCTGCTCTTCACAGCCTCAAGTGCCCCCTTTCTGTTTTGCAACTGAGACCATTGGCATCCAAAGTAACAGAGGAAAATGACTGGGGCTTAAGGAACTCAGTCTTCCTTGGGAACGTGGGGACAGGACTTCAGTGGCCTGCAGGAAGGTGGGCAGCAGCAGGAAGTGTTAAGGGAGTCTCAGAACAAACGGGACAGGCAGGGAGATCTATCCAGGCAGTGACTGATGCCCTGTTCCTTGGCTTGGAGGCCATCAGGCTCCATGAGGCAGGAGCCATAGGATCTTGGCTGCTCTTGGCCCAGTTTGGGGTGGGCCAAGGTCTGTACACCTAAAGACTCCTGGGAACAGGGGTCACTCAGGAAATCCAGACCTGTAGCCTTGCTGACCAGTGGGTTGGCATGACAGGCACAAGCTGTCTGGGATTGTACTCAGGCAGGGGAGGCTAAGGGAGGAAGCTATGCAGGGTGAGGTCATCCCCATCTCGGTCCTCACTGGACTCTGCCTTTAGGCCCTGGCTCTTGGGCAGGCCCCCATTGGCTGTGACAGGGGGCCCTTCACCCCCATCAGGCAGCAGGGACGAGATGCAGACCATTTCCGTGGGTGAGTAGTTACGCACGGGATACATGTGGTTCTTACGAGAGAGGCGGACTGCCAGCACCACGGTGCACACAAGGAAGATGGTGGCCAGCAGGGCCAAGATAAGGATGGCGAGCAGGCACTGCCTCACAGGGATGAGGTCCGAGGTCCCTGTAGAGCTGGGGGCCACAGAGCTCCCAGGGGTGACAATCTGACCTTTCTTCATGCCGATGTCAGATAAGTTGTCTCTCGTCATAGTGATGTTCTCCTGAGTAGCAGACGGCCCAAGAAAGATGATGGACCCAGTAGGCCCTGTGGACAGGAACTTCGTGGTCACTGGTGCTATAGACAGAGGCTCTGTGGCAGTTGGCTCTGTGAACAGAACTTTTACAGCCTTGGACTTCCTGGGAGATTGGCTGGTCTCTGCCTCTGTAACCACTGCTTGGGTGGTCTCCGGCTTTGCGGCTGCTGGTTGGCTGGTCTCCGGCTCTACGGCTGCTGGTTGGCTGGTCTCTGCCTCTGTAACCACTGGTTGGGTGGTCTCCGGCTCTGCGGCTGCTGGTTGGCTGGTCTCTGGCTCTGCGGCTGCTGGTTGGCTGGTCTCTGCCTCTGCGGCTGCTAGCTGAGTGGTCATCTCCACTGTGGTTAAGCTCCTCTGTGTCACTGGTTCTGTGCTAAGCTTTCCCACCGCTGCCCCTCCTGCATCTGGGCCGGCAGAACCTATAGCTGTGGCCTCCACAGTAGCTGGTTCCGGGATTCCGGGCCTCATAAAAGTTCGCTGCTCCATCGTGCCCATGGTGGTCAGAGACTCAGGGTTTGTAGTCACAGGGTTGGTGATGTTTTCAAGTAGTTCTGGAAGGTCCGTGGCCTCCAGGGGATAGTCAGGGTCCTCAAATTCATCGTCCTCTCCTGCCTGTCTCCGTCCCCGGATAAGTGCGGGGCCTGAGGCTTCCTTGACTCCTTCCCCCAGAGTATCCCACAGCTGAAGGCTGTTGCCAGGGCCCAGGAGGGTCAGCAGCAGGAGGAGGTGCAGAAGCATGGTACCTGGGGAGAGAGGGACAGGGAGGTGAGGATGCATCATCCTTGCCCAGTGAGAACCTCCCTGGCAACTCTGGTCTGCTCTGGGAGCCTGAGGCAGGAGGACTACAAGTTTTCATTCAGCCTGACTACACAGTGAGGTCAAGGCCAGCCTGTACAACTTCATGAGATTTGGTCTCAAAAAGTAAAGAGAAGGCTGAAGGGACTGGGCATGGTGGTACAAGCCTGTCATCACAGCACTTGGGAGGCAGAGGCGGGAGGATCAGGAGTTCAAGGTCATCCTCAACTACATAGTGAGTTTGAGGCCAGCCAGGGCTACAGAAACCCTGTTTCTACCACACCCCCCTCCAAAAGCAACAACTGAAAAAATGTAGGTGGGACAGGGAAGACTGGGCATGTAGTTCAGTGATAGAGTGCTTGCCTAGCATGTGCAAGGTCCTAGGTTCAATCTCTAGCACTGAAAAGTAAAAAATAAAATGAAGGAGAATTTTTATTTGTGGGTGGAACACTCCATAGGGCATAGAGAAAGGGTTTTGTTATGTCTTTGTTTATCATTGTTGTTGTTTTGTCTTAGATAAAGTCTTATCACACAGTGGTGGCTGGCCTGGAGCTCCAGTTGTAGTCTAGGCTGCCCTTGAACTAAGGAAGCCTCCTACTTCAACCTCAAAAATGCTAGCATCATGGGGGTGTGCCACTGAGCCCAGCAAAAGGAAGTCTTAGCGCTCCCTACTACAGTCCCTTTTTGTTGTTTGTGTTTTTGTTTTTGAGAGAGAGAGAGAGAGAGAGAGAGAGAGAGAGAGAGAGAGAGACTCTATGTGTGTGTGACTTTACATGTGTGTGGGTGCCTGTGGAGGCCAGAGGTTGATGTTGGGTATCTTCCTTAATCATTTTCCTTCTTATGTTTTGGGGACAGGGTCTCTAAGTGACCCTGGAACTCACCAATTTGGCTAGATTAGCTGTCCAGAAAGTCCCAGGGATCCCCATATGTCCACTTCCCCAGTGCTGGGATTAAGGATGTGTGGTATGCTTGGCTTTTACATGGGAACTGGGGACTGAACCCAGGTCCTCAGGCTTGTACCACAAGCACCTTACTGACTGAGCCATCTCACCCCACCACTGGAATAATTTTTGAGTGCTTACTGTGTGTTTATTCTACATGCTTCACAGTTATTGCCCAACCCTAGTTGGCTTGGAAATCAATATGTAGACCAGGATGGCCTTGATCTCACAGAGATCTGCCTGCCTCTGTCTCCAGAGAACTGGAATTAAAAGCATGTACTACCACACCTAGCCTGATTCTCCTTTAAAAACATTTAGGGGCTGGAGAGATGGCTCAGTGGTTAAGAGCACTGGCTACTCTTGCAGAGGACCTGGGTTTGAGTCCCAGCACCTACATGGCAACTAACAACCATTCCAGTTCCAGGGGAATCCAACACTCTCTTCTGACCTCCATGGCATTGCACGACACAGGTGTACTTACATACATGCATGCAAAACACTCATACACATAAAATAAAAATAATATAATAAAATATAAAAAAGAGTTATTTATTTTATTTGACATGTTGTAGTGTTTGCCTGATTATATATATGTGCACTGAATGCATGCCCACAGAGGCCAGCAGAAGGAGTCAGATTCCGTGGAGCTAGAGTTATGAGACATCTCTCCAGCCCCAACATTCACTTTTTGTGTCAGCCCTTCTTAGTGTCTGGCTTTTGTTTTTACATTTTAATTTATGAATTGTGTGTGTGTGTGTGTGTGTGTGTGTGTGTACATGCATGCACTTGCCACTCCATGGAAGTGGAGGTCAGAGGACAACTCTCAGGAATCAGTTCTTTCTTTCCTTCTACCATGTAGGCCCTGGGATCAAACTCAGTTCATCAGATTTGGCAGCAGGTGCCCTTACCAGCTAAACTATCTTGCCAGCCCTTGATGTCTGTTTTGTAAATATTAATACCATGTCAGAAAGCGGCAGTCATGGATGCATACAGCTCCTAAAGAGATCAGTGATCATTGCACTTTGAACACAGCTGTCAGAAGAGGATAAAGCCAGTTTGTTGGGGCTCTGAGGCCCCTTGAGCCTGGTCCCTGACTCCCTCTGCCACCTTAGCCCCCACAGCCCTTGCCAGTCCTCAGGGCCTTGGTTTGTCTCTTTCTCTATGTCTCTGCTTGGTCCTGTTCCCTTGATATCCTTGCTTGGGTGGGGAGGTGACAGGATCCACTGGCAGGAAACATTGAGAATGCCACAAGAGGTGTGTGGAGTCCTTAGTATGCATTCCTACGGCAAGCTCTCAACCAAGGTCAGCTGCCCTGGTTGCTTCTGCCATCTTGCCTCTAGGTCCTTCAGGGCCCAGAGCCAACAAGTGCACTTTCAGGGACCAGGAGGAAACTCACCTCTCCAGGAACTCAGCGTTCTGTTTGTCTGTGGACAGAACCACTGTCCGTACCGAGAGCCACACTGTCCTCCCTACAAGGGAGTCAGGAGAATGATCACTTTCCTGTAGCTGTCTTCTCTCTGCTCCCTTACTTTCCCTTGGCATTGGCTAGCATTTAGAGTTCAGAATCCTGCCCTTAAAATTTTTGTGGCGAGTAGCAGGACCTGGGTATTTGTTGGTTTCCAGCACTTTAGCAGTACACAATCCCTCCAACAGTGTCTGACATGGCAGAAGCCATAACCAATGCCCAGATCATTTCTAGTATCCTTCCCTTGTCCTTCACCCCTGTGATTGGCAGGATGGAGGGTGACTATGACTTACTCAAGGGCCCCTTTGCTGCTGGGCTCAGTCTGAGCTCTTTTACAGGTTAGTTACACCTACACTGAGTTTCTAAAATGCAAATCTGATGACATCTTAGAATTTCTGAAACCAAACTTTATGGCATTTGTACCAGTTATCCCCATGTTACAGAGGAGGACATGGGCTGAGAGACAGAACAATTTGCCAAAGATACCCAGCAAGTGATTGGCCTCAACCAGATCCAGGGAGACTTTATAGAGAGACAGAGATGTGAGCAGAAAGCTTGGCTCAGTTCCATGGTGCTGGTCAGAAGTTTGAAGTCCCAACACAGGAAAGTCCAGGCCACCATTCACCAGGAACCACCCAGGACCTAAGGTGAGCAGCAGATTGTGGGGTCAGACAGGAGGAGGTTCAAGATCTGCCTCTTACATGCTGAGTGACCTTTAAATTTTTTATAGTTGACTTTATTTTATATGTATAACTGTTTTGCATACATGTATATAGGTGTACCGCATGTGCGCCATGCAGGTGGGGACCAGAAGGTGTCGGATCCCCTAGATCTGGAGCTATGGACAGTTGTTAGCCACCATATAGGTGCTAAGAATTGAACCTGGGTCCTCTGCAAGAGCAGCCAGTACTTCTAACCACTGAGCCATCTCTCCAACCCTGAGTTCAGTGACCTTTGAGACAGACACTTGCCTCTTTTGAGCTGAGTTCTGCTGGGCCTAAATGGGAAATAAGAAATGACCTTTTGCATAGAACTGTGGACATCATGTCTTGGGAGGATGGGTTCACAATGTGTGTGTGCACATGCATACAGGCCACCTCGCTTCTCAACCTGCCTGTGGAGCCCCAGAACACAGGCAGCAGAGTTCCTCCTTCCGGTGAGAGTGCATGGCCAACTATGGGCCCACTTTCCTGGCGGGGGGGATGGGAGACTGCAGGAAGAAGCCATCAGGGCAAGGTGTTTGTCATCATTACAACAATGCTCACACCCACTGCCTCCCCTGGTTCCTGGAAGGCACAGAGCCTTGGCCACTTCCTGCAAGAAGAGAAGGAAGGGCAACTGCTGAGGCTGGGCTCTAGTTCCTGGGGCAGGCACCCTAGAAGATCAGAGGGTCTGACGGTCAGGATCCCACTCTGTAGGCTAAAGGTGAGGACCAGTCAGACAGGGGTGGGCTGGTTCCAAAAGGGTCCTCACTACAGGCTACTCTCTCTCCTACCCACAATCCCCTGCATGCAGAGAGGGCCTGGGGTAGAGGAGAGAGGTGGGGGGGGCCTGATTCCCACATTTACCTCCACAGCACCTTTGTGACCCTGAGCATCTTCTGTGAACCTCAGCTGTCTCATCTATAACATGAGACTGCACGGAAGGTCTCTAATGCTGGCTTTTGAGGGGAAGGGACTCACCCAGAGACCTTCTGCCAGACTGCAGAAGAGGTCATGGAGATGAGACCTTGCTGCTGCCACTGTCCACAGCTAGGAAACCACAGGGCCTGTGGTTGAAATAAGGCGGTGCATGAGTGGGGTGAGTGAGAGCTCCCAGCACCTCAGCTGCTTGGGAGGCTGACAATGGAGGATCACTTGAGCCCAGGAGTTTGAGACCAGTTTGGGCAACAAGTGAGATCCTGTCTCACATTAACTAATTAATTAATTAGTTAATTAATTAATTAATATAATCTCTTTTTAAAAATGTGGCCAGACATGCTGATACACATCTAAAATCCCAGCACTTGGGAATTAGAAGCAAGATCACAAGTTCAAGTGTAAATTAATAAATAAAACAAGGGCTGGGAATGTGCCTCACTAGTTGGGGGATATGCCTCAGTGGTAGAGCATTTGCCTAGTATGCATGAGATCCTGGATTCCATCTCCAGTAGCACAAAAAAAGAAAAAAGATGAGGGGCTGGAGAGATGGCTCAGCAGTTAAGAACACTGTTCTTGCAGAAGACCCAGGTTTGAATCCCAGCACCCACATGGCAGCTAATAGCTGTCCATAACTCCAGTTCCAGGGGATCCGACAGCCTCTTCTGTCCTCCATGGGCATTGCACGACATGGGTGCACTTACCTACATGCAGGCATAACACTCATACACATAAAATAAAAATAATAAATAAAAAAAGAAAAAAGATGAGACTCATTGGGAGAGCCCAAATCTCCCTGCCTGTGCCTGTCCAGAGAGACGGGTTTGTTCCAGAAGTCACATATTCCCAGAAATCCCTGTCTCAGACCAACAAGGGCCACTGTTCACCCTAGCCTGGTCCTGCCATCTGTGAACTACAGTAAGATGGGCCCTGGGATGCCACAGCCTGGATGGAGCCAGGCTGAAGTGGAATCCACAGCTCTAGCAGAAGCCACTCTGCAGTGCACGTGGATGAGCCCGCCAGATGCTCCACTTTGTTATTTGCTGAGATAGGTCTGTGCGCTATAGCAAAGACCCCACTTGGGTGGATTCTTCACCCCCTCTATGTGACCCCTCTAATCTCCCCTCCAATGAAGCACCAGCTCTCAGGACCCACTACACAGATGAAGAAATCAAGGCTGGGAGGGATGGCGCACACCCTGCGGTCGCCTCTCCCCAAATGGCAAGCAAACAAGAATGGGACTAGACTGAACTCAAAGAATGTGAAGACAGACACATCCTATCGCTCTCAGTGCTTGCCTGCCCATTTCCTGTCCTTCACCCTAAATTCAGTTGCCTCTCCCCTAGGCAGGTTTCTAGGGGCGTCACTCTGCAGACCCAAGGAATTCTAATTCCACTCCCCTTCCCAGTGTGCGCAGTCTTGGAATCTCAGCCTCTGCAAGAAGCAAAGCCTACACCAACCACTAGGGCTGACAGGCACAGGAGACCTCACTTGAAGTCTGTGTCCTGAGGGACTGGACAGTCCCTGCCCTGCTTGGAAAGTCACAGCAAAAAGCCCCATCCCAGCTCTGTCCCTGACAAGCTGTGCGACCTTGGGAAACTGTACTCACCTCTCTGATATGACATGTGCAATGCAGCTGTGCCTCAGTTTACAATGAAGTCCATGGCAGCATGAAAATATCAGAAATCAGAAATACATTAAATACACCTGACCTAATGAACATTATACTTAGCCTGACCCACCTAACATGTGCTGGGAATGCTCATGTTAGCCTATGGTTGGGCAATACCATCTAACACTAGCCTAGTATCTGAAAGAATCCATAGCCCAGGCTAGATCAAATTTCAAAACTGAAAGTATGGGTTCTCCTGAATGGGGATCCTTTTACCCCACCGTGAGGGCAAAGCATCACAAGTCAGACCATCCCCAGGTGGAGGACCATGAGCCCAGGGGAAATGCGACCCTCTCCTCATGGATTTGCTGAGGGTAGGTAGGCAATGGTCCACGTAGAATGTTTAGCTCAGTCAGTGCTCCACAGAAACCAGCTGTTGTCATTATTTTGCATTTAGGACAGGGGACTCCCTATTAGTCACTGCTGTGTCCTAGGAAATCCCCAACCTGGAGCAGGCTATGGCTGTCCTTTGACTTCCTTAGTGAGAGAGGGCTGCGGGGGGGCGGGCAGGGATGCCCAGAAGCCAGTCTTTGTGGTATTCTCTGGATGCTACCACAGCCTGAGCCTCCTCTGACTCATGAGCCACATATACAGAATGTGGACAGTGCTGGGCACTGCTCTAAGACATGTCAGTGAGTTATTAGTTCATCCTCCATAAAAGGGTGGGAAACATCATTCATTCTTGTGGAAAATGGGGCAACTGAAGCCCACTTGGTGCCTAGAGACCCACAACCAGAGGACCAAGAGCAGGAACTTGCAGCTGGGCAGTCCCTTTCCAGAGTTTATCTCAGCCCCATACCACCTGGGAACAAGGACCTTCTGTTCTTGGAGCCAATACATCTCCTCCTGGAAGCCATCCCAGATTATCCCAGGTTTGAGTTATCATCTTCCATCCTTTAAACCTTCCCAGTGTTTGTTTCCTAAAACTCCATTCAGGTTAACTCAAGAACTCCCAGAATGCAGCAACACAGACACCTGGATGACCAGTCATGCCACATGTCCTAGAGTCGGCATTGGACAGATACAGCAATGGCAGCTTCACAGAAACCCCTCTGGACACTTGTCCCATAGGCTCACGGGCACTGTGACAGTCTGCCCTGGGCCATCCCACCAGACTCATAGAGAGCAGGGATTCTGTGGTCCCCAGCACCAAGAGGCCTGACAGCCCCTGAAAGTGTCATTCAGTGCCTATTACAGGCGTGGACGTGTCACTGTGGCATGGTGTCAAGCTCAGAGCTACACAGACATGCCAGCCCCAGGCTTTTTGTATTGTACTTGGCAACTTCCACCCCATTAGAGATCTTCTTCAGACATGTTTTTTCTAATTCCCACCCCCACCTACCCTGTGAACTTTTGGTTTGTTCATTCTGAGACAGTCTTATATAGCCCAGGATGGCCTCCAAGTTGCTCTGTAACCAAGGATGACCTTGAATCCCTGATTCTCTTGCTTCCCCCTCCCAAGTACTGGGATCACAGTTGTGTGCCACCACACTCACCCTCTGCGAACTTAGTAGCAGACTAAAATGCTCATCTGTTTAACGTCCCAGGGTACTTCTCAAGGCCACAAAGCATAGTTAGGTGAGTGTGACGACTCTCTAACCCTAGGACTGAGCCTTGTTTGTTGGGACTCCAGTGCACTGGCCTAATACAGATTAGGTGTGAAGTTTAGCACAAATGAATTCAAGAAGAGCTGTGCCTGTTTTTTCTTTACCTAGGGATGGTTTTCAAAAGACACATAGGCAGATGAATGGACAAGTACACCAGGTACATGTGCATATGTGCACACAGCCTAGCCATCTGTCTCCTTCTAAAACATAGCCATCGGCAGCCCTCTTTCTGCTCTGATGTAGCAAAGGAAACTGGAACACTGGGACCTGGTCACCATTGGCTCTAGGGTCCTGCAGCCAGAGGGACTATGTCACATCCCAGCTTGGTGGTATCCTGGTCACACTGCTGTGTGGAGCTGCTTTTCCCCTCACAGCCTGGTTTCCCATCTGTAAACAGATATACTGTCCACCCAGCAGGTGATCCTGTACCCCATCTGAAGGTTCAGCTTAGACCCAAGTTTCCAGGAGGGCTTGGCCAGTGGCCCAGTCTTTTCTGCTCCCTCCAAGCTTCAGCTCCCTGGCTGCTGGCCAAGCTGGGGAGGAAGGCAGCCTCCCCATAGGGTGTGGTCCTTCTGTCAGCACCCAGAGGAGCCATCTCTAGCCCCTCTACCCACTGAGGCCAGGCCCTTGGGGATCCAAGTTAGATACAGGAAAACGTAAACAGAGGCCACAAAACAAGAGACATCCAGACCACAAAAGCTAATCTCTGCAGAGAGAAGGGCTGGAGGTAGCTCAGTGATGGAACTCTGGCCAAGCATGCACACAGCCATGGGCTCCCATCCCAGCACCACAAAGTGAAGACAAAAAAAATTGCAGATGTGAGGGGATGGGAGCTGCTTGCATCTTTAGTCTCTGTCAGTCTCCTTTAGTACCCCAAGTACACATCTGTAAGAGTGAACTGGGGATGTAGCTCAGTTGGTAGAGTACTTGTCTACTTTGCACAAAGCCCTAGGCTCAATCCCCAGTACCACATAAATTGGATTGATGAAGGCACCTGCCTGTAATCCCAGCATCTGGGACACGGAGGCAGAAAGTGTAAGGTCATCCTCCACAACACAGCAAGTTCCGGAAAAGCCTGGACTACATGAGACCCACTCTTAAAAACAAACAACACAAACAACCCCCAGCCCCCAAATTTTAACAGTATCCTAATTATTATTTTTACTATTTTCATATTTGATAACAATATTATCCTAATATTCTAATTTTTTATTTTTGAGACAGGGTCTCACTATATAGTGCTGGCTGGCCTAGAACTCACTATATAGACCAGGCTAGCCTAGACCTCCCAGAGATCTGCCTGCCTCTGCCTCTGAAGTGCTGAGATTGTTACCATGCCTGACATAATTCTGATATTTTAACAATTTTCCATGAATAAGTGCCACTTTCTCAATCTGCTTAAAAGAAAAACAAAATGTCAGAGCCAAGAAGATGGTTCAGCAGGTAAAAGTGCTAACATAGACCTGGTGACTTGAGTTCAGTCCCCAGAACTCATGGTGTAAGCAGAGAACTGACTCCTGAAATTTGTCCCCTGACTTCCACAAGTACATCATGGCACTTGAGTGCAACACACACAACAATAAAAGTGATTTTTCTTTAATTTTTAAAAGGTCCCAGTCAGGACTGGGGATTTAGCTCAGTGGTAGAGGGCTTGCCTAGCAAGCACAAGGCCCTGGGTTCGGTCCTCAGCTCCGGAAAAAAAAGACAAAAAAAAAGGCCCCAGTCTCTATTCAGAGATACACAAGGCAGCAGGCATGGTCCTAGTAACCAGGGAGTGGTTAGAAGTTAACAGGCATGGGTCAGGAACACCTGCATAAGGCCACAGGTTCCAGGAAGACCTTGGTCCTGAGGCGCGGAACAGCTCAGAGAGGCCCGAGGTCCTGCTCTAGCTTGGAAGGCAGGCTTCTTTGTCCCTTGAGCCCCCAGTCCTTCCCTGTGGTTTTGCACACCCGTACTTACCGTGCTCAGCAGAGCATGGGACAGCTGCCTCAGGGGACCCAAAAGTGACTCTGCTTCAGTGGCAAGGCCCAGCCCACGCTGTCAGACACTGCGTGGCACCCCGTCATGGTCCCGACCCGCCAACCCCCCAACGGCAGGGTGTGGAAGAAGGAAGTGAGAATGTGGTTACTCAGGCTGGCCACGTGACAACCCACACCCCGTTGTTTGTGACAGCTTTGGTGACAACCTTGATTAAAATTGGGTGGGCAGTGTGACAGTGACCTGCTGGGCCTGCTATCACTCTTGAAAACAAAAGACAATATGGAATCTTGCAAGGGAAGGGACCCCAAGAAAGGCCACATGTTACTCCATGAGCAATGGAGAGTGGGGACCAGAGACGACCTCCCACAGGAGGCTGAAACCAGATGAAAAGGAGGTCAGGTCTTAATTCTCACTCAAGATGGAGGAGCTGGACACAGAACACCCACCTCATGGGACTTGCAAACAGAATAGCTCTTCTCCTCTTCTTCTTGTCCTCTTCCTCCTCTTCTCTCTCCCTCCCCACTCTTTGCCCCTTCCCTTTTTCTTTCATAGGGTCTCTTTATAGCCCAGGTTGGCCTCAGGATCTTTTTTCCTCCTCCTGAGTGCTGGGGCAATAGGATGCTTTTCTTCTTTCAAGACTCTAACATAACTGGATGGAGTGGCTCACACTTAGGATCCCAAGGCAGAAGTTTGATGTCCGCTTAGGCTAAAGGAGACCTGTCTTAAATCCCCCAAAAAAAGCTCTTTAGTAGCAATCAAGAACCTCCTGGACAGCCAGGTCACCAATCCTCTAGGGCAATACCTGAATGTCCTATTTCTCTTCCCTAACTTTTGCTCTTTGGCCAACTCTGCCCCTCAGCTGGATACTAATTGTTTGGCTCATGCCTCCCTCCTGTAATTCTTCACTGGATGGGAAGGCTGGCCAGTAAACAAGTCAACAGACTATTACAACACACCACGGTAAGTATGTCACCCCAGGGTGAGCTTGGGGATTGTGCGGGAGAAGATGGGTATCAGGAGAATCCTCTAAAGAGAAGTGACATTTGAGATTGTAAGTAGGGTGAGCTGGCTAGGCGGCCCAGGTGGAGAACACAGCACCAGCAAAGGCTAGAGAATGCACAGAATAGTCTGCCCTGTGGCTTTGCATAAGCCAGGGCTCAGGACTTATACAGAGAGTTAGTCATATCCTGCCTTGTACACACAGGTTTGTTTTTTTTTTTTTTTGGTCTTTTTGCGACAGGGTCTCCCTGTAGCCCCAGCTGTCCTGGAACTCACTATGTAGACCAGGCTGGTACACAGGTTTTTTAAAAATGAAAACCAGAAGGTCATGGTGGTGCATGCCTAGAATCCCAGCACTCAGGAGGTGGCAGGAAAATGAAGAGTTTGAAGCCAGACTGGCCTAGATAATGAGACCCTGTCTCAGACCTGAGTTCTATCCTAGGGACCCACATTCTTGTCCTCTGACTGGAGAGAGAGAGAGAGAGAGAGAGAGAGAGAGAGAGAGAAGAGAGATCAAAATATATTTAACACAGGGCTAGAGCTATGGCTCAGCAGTTAAGAGCACTGTCTATTCTTGCAGAGAACCCAGGTTCAATTCCCAGCACCCACATGATTTCTAACAACTATCTCCAGGGGATCTAACATCCTCTTCTGGCCTCTTCAGGCATTATACATTGTGCACTTAAATACATGCAGGCAAAATTAACATACACATAAACTAAAAATAAAATATTTTTTGTGAAATGTTTAAAACAAAACAGCAAACAAAATGACCCACCACCAAAAAAGGAAAGAAAATCCAGGCTCTACAGACCGTCAGTCATGACAGAATCTCAGCCACTTTTGGAAGCCACAGTTGAGTGAGGCCCATAGCTCACCTGGCCCACACAGACGGATAAGCAGCAGAGGCAGGACTCATATCCAGGTGGGCTGTGATGTTACAAGGAAAGTAACAGTGAAGATTCTTTGCACCCAGCTTGCTGGCAAGTGCTCTGCCCCTGAGCCACACCCCAGGCAGCTGATGTAGAAGGGAAAGAGCATCGCTTAGCTGAAGTAAGCTATGTCAAGGTCATCTTGAGGAGCTACACTTGCTTTCTAGAGGAGCACACTGTGCCCAGAAGATCCCAGTTCATGCTTTCTGTGTGCAGGACCATAAAACCACAGCCTCCTGCACCTGCCACCTGTGAGAGCAAAGGGTCTCTGTGAATAGCTTTCTACTTCTAGGAATGGAGCCCAGGAAAAGACTCCCTGCTACCCCCACAGATCAAAGCAATAGTACTTAATGACATTTGAGGAAGCACAGAGGTCCCACCCAGGAAAATCTGTCCATTGGTGAACTACAATGAAGGCACTAAAAGTCTGTTAAAGCAAACTGAAAAGGAGGCCGGGCTGAAGGATCCCTGAAGAGACAAAACAGTCAGGCCTTGCCGATGACCTAGGCCCTGCTTGAAAACACAAGCGGAACTTATGCCATTTCTTGAGAAGACCTAAAGAAAGACAGAACTTAAACTCAACCAGTCAGAAATAGCCAATAAATTTGTAATCAATCACTAGGACCCTTCCAGAACAATTGAATCTTTGCTCTCCTTCTGTGCCTCCCTGAGTTCCCTTGACAGCTCCTGAATCTCTTCTAGTTTGGGTTTGGGGCTTCCTAATTTACTCATTTATATTACATCTATTTTATTTATTTATTTATCTATCTATTTATTTATTTATTTATTTTGTGTGTGTATGTGTTTGTGTCTGTGACAGGGTACATGGGTGATCAGATGACAATTTATGGGACTTGATTTTCTCCTTCCATTATATGGTTTGTGGGGATTGAACTCAGGTTGTCAGGCTTGGCAGCAAGCCCTCTTGTTTGGAAACCTTATTACGTCTCAATTTACCTTTTATCTATCTGTGAGCAGTCAAAGGGGGCAAGTTTATCTTTCTTCATCTTTCTTTTTCTCTTCCTTTAAAAAAATATAGTGATTGGGATTAAACCCATGCATGCTAGGCAAATGCTCTAACTTTAAGCTATACTCCCAGCTATTTGCTGAGGCAGGGTCTTGCTAAGTTCCTGAGGCTGGGTTTGAACTCACTGTTGACCTTATAGACTTTGAACTCATCCCCTTCCTGCCTTAACTTCCCAAATAGCTAGGACTATAGGCTGTGTTACCAGTCCATGTTCAAAGGAGTCAGGTTTCTGCTTTTTAGAAATGGGCCCTGGAAAAAGATTCCAAAATCTTTTCAAAGATCCAAACAATGATTGTTAACACAATAAATTTGGAGAGGCAGACATTGTGACAAAATAAACTTGGGGAGCTGGGTATTGTAGCACATGATTGTAATTCTAGCATTCTAGAGGCAGATACAGGAGGATTACAGCAAGTTCAAGGCCAACTCAAACTATATATGGAGTTCCAGGCCAGTCAGGACTACATAAAAAGACCTGTCTCAAATAATAAATACATACACACATGTCACAACAACAAAGAAAAATAAAACAAAACCTAGCTGGGCATGGTGGTACATGCTTTTAATCCCAGCATTCAGAGCTAGCCTGGTCTATAAAATGAGTTCCAGGCCAGCCAGAGCTACATAGTGAGACCTTGTCTTAAAAAAACAAAAACAGGGCTGGAGAAATGGCTCAGGGGTTAAGAGCACTGGCTGCTCTCACAGAGGACCTGGGTTCAATTTCCAGTACCCACATGGCTGCAACAACCATCCATAACTCCAGTTCTAGAGGATCCAATGTTGTCTTCTGACCTCTGTGGGCACTGCATGACATAGGTGTACTTACATACATGCAGGCAATACACTCATATACAAAAACAAGCCAGAGAGATGGCTAAGCAGTTAAGAGCATTTGGTGTCCTTGCTGAGAACTGAGAGGTTCCCAGCACCCATATAGCGCCTCACAGCTTTCTGTAACTCCACTTCCAGGGAATCCGATGCCATGTTCTGGCCTCTGTGGGAACCAGGCATGCACACAGTACACACACATATATGCAGACACTAGCTCATATACATAATAAAAAATAAAAATCTTTTTTTAAATTTTATTTATTTTATGCGTATGCATAGTATTGCCTGCATGTAGTTAAGTGCACCCATGTCGTGCAGTGCCAGAGGAGGTCAGAAGAGGCTATCGGATTCCCTGGGACTAGAGTTACAGACAGTTGTTTAATGCTGCCATATGGGTTCTGGGATTCAAACCCAGGTCTTCTGCAAGACAAACCAGTGTTCTTAACCGCTGAGCCATCTCTCCAGCCCCATCTTTTTTTTTTTTTTTAAAGAGCCAGAGGTGGTGGATGAATACAAGGAAACCATGATGTCTGGACACCACACGGCGCTTTGCACATCTGAACCCACAATGTTTGTGACAGCATGCACAAGACCTATGCAAGCCCAAGGCAGACAAAAATCCAGCATGGATGGGGAGGTGACCAAGAAGCCGCAGACCTAGCTGAGGATCTATTAACAACTGATAGCTGCTGGCAGAGGGAGTCAGTTTTCTTTAGGGATGTGACCCCTGGTAAAGTGACCAGATTCCAGGGGACAGACCCACACTAAGGGCATTTGGGGAATACAGATTTAGACTTGATAGGCCTTTAAAGGAAGAAAAAGACAATAAAGAACATGAATGGGATGAATGGGGAGGGGAAGTAGGGTGGGGAAAGAGATGAGGGGTCTGCATGTAATCAAAATACATTGTACAAAATTCTCGAGGAATCTGTGTGTGTGTGTGTGTGTGTGTGTGTGTGTGTGTGTGTGTGTGAGTGTACTGGTCTTTTTGAGACAGGGTCTCCCTGTAGCCCCAGCTGGCCTGGAACTAAACTCACTATGTAGACCAGGCTGGCCTTGACCTCACAGAGATCCACCTGCCTCTGTTGGGATTAAAGGTGTGCATCACCAAGCCTGGCAATACAAATAGTTTTTAAAAGGCAAGGAAAAGAAAATAAAAAAGAGAAATTTGCAGAAAAACTAGAGTTTTATGCTAAAGAACTGCATCCCTGATGAACCAAATATGGGCATAGGGCATAGCCACCTTATTCGTGCTGAATGCTTAGAGAATACTTCTCACCTGC